ACCTTCAATTCTAAATGATAGTTTTGCTACCTAGAGTAATCTTGGTTGTAGTTCCTTGCTTTCATCACTTTGAATATTTCTTACCAATCCTTTCTGTCCTGCAAAGTTTCTGTTGTGAAATCAGCTGACAGTCTTATGGGTGCTCCCTTATAGGTAATTAACTGCATTTCTCTTGCTGCTTTTAAGATTATCTTTGCCTTTAACTTTTGGCATTTTAATTATGATGTATCTTGGTGTGGGCCTCTTTGGATTCCTCTTGTTTGGGACTCTCTGAACTTGCTGGATTTTTTATCTATTTCTTTCACCAGGTAAGGGAAATTTTCTGTCATTATTTTTTTCAAATAGGCTTTCCATTTCTAGCTCGCTCACTCTCCTCCTTCCGGCACCTCCATGATGTGAATGTTGGTACACTTGAAGTTGTCCTAGAACCTCCTTACATTATCCTATATAATAAAAGGCCAGAGGCCATAAGCGTCACGACCGGAACGACCGCTTGACCAGTCGCCATGAGGTGGCATTGACCACCTCTCGGTCCCTCGCGCCCCCAGCCCGCAAGCGGCGGTGGGGCAGGACTGAGGACTGGCGAGTGGACTGCACGGCTCACCTCTTGGTCCCTGCCCCTGTCCTGCAGGCTCCAATGGATCAGCGATGGTGAAAGGGGGAATCAGGGTGGGTGGCGGGAGGACCAGGCTAGCAGTAAGGCCATTGGGATCGCCAGCTCATCCCTGGCTGCTCCGGGCTCAGGCCTGCGGGAAAGCACGTGCTGGCGACTTCACCTTCATGCACATGCGCCAGGCTGGCCGCTGATGGAATGCGCTTCCCGCTTAGGGCCGCTCATGGCGGGGCGGGTAGGTCACAGGCGTGCCCCACAGCTTCTGTCAGCGCCTCAAGCTGCGGCAGCGGCAGCGGCAGCAGCGGCGCCTGTGTGAGTGGCCCTAAGCCGGCAGCACATTCCATCAGCGGCCAGCCTGGTGCACGCACATGGAGGTGAAGTCGCTGGCTCCCACTTTCCTGCAGACCTGAGCCCCCGAGCAGCCAGGGATGAGCTGGTGATCCCAACGGCCTGACAGCCCGGTGGAGGCAGCGTTCGGCCTTGGGACTGGCGAATGGGCAGATGATGACCCTGATCGCAGGAGGCTAGGCCCAGGGTCTCTACCCACACGATTTCATGCACTGGGCCTCTAGTTTTCATATATTTGGATTCTTTTTCTTTTTGCTGTTCTGCTTTGGTGTTTTTTATACTTCCTCATATTCCAAATCACTGATTTTGACGTGGTTATGGGAGTAGGCAAGTACTGCGTTCACCTATGCTGCCATCTTCTAGGAACTTATTTGAGTAAAACCGAGGACATAAGCCAGGAGAAAGATTTGAAATACTTCCTCAACTGGACTTATTTATATTTCTGTCCTATACTAGTGGTTGATAGCCTCACTTAAATATTCGAAAGGCTATCTCTTGGCTGGGAGTGCTGGGTATCTCTCATTTGGCAGGCTAACCAGGACCTACTCACGTAGGGGTCTCAGGGTTCTAAGAACAGCAAACAGGCAAACTTGGATGTGCAAGGGCTTTTCAAGCTTCTGGGGTTGTCACATGTTGCTAATATTCCATTGAGCAAAGAAAATCACATGGTCAGCCTAGATCAGGATGCAGTACTTAATCTCTCAATAGGAAGAGAAATATGTTCTCATTTGGCAGTTTATTACACTACTAGAGGCCCGGTGCATGAAATTTGTGCACTGGGGGAGGGTGTCCCTCAGCCCAGCCTGCACCGTCTCTAATCTGGGACCCCTCGGGGGATGTCTGACTGCTGGTTTAGGCCCGATCCCTGTCGGACATCCCTCTCACAATCTGGGACTGCTGGTTCCCAACTGCTCGCCTGCCTGCCTGCCTGATTGCCCCTAACTGCTTCTGCCTGCCAGCCTGATCACCCTCTAACCACTCCCCTGCCAGCCTGATCGACGCCTAACTGCTCCCCTGCTAGCCCGATTGTCCCCAACTGCCCTCCCCTGCAGACCCAGTCGCCCCTAACTGCCCTCCCCTGCAGGCCCAGTTGCCCCCAATTGCCATCCCCTGCAGGCCTGGTCCCCTCCAACTGCCCTTCCCTGCCACCCCACTCACCCCTAACTGCCCTCCCCTGCTGGCCTGATCGCCCACAACTGCCCTCCCTTGCCAGCCATCTTGTGACCACATGGGGGCAGCCATCTTGTGCGAGGGTGTAACAGTCAATTTTCATATTACCTTTTTATTATATACAGTTGTATAACTACATAGTCCCTTCTGCTTTTGTTTATTTTGCCTTCCTTTTTATCTACTTTATTGAGGTATAATATCCCAAAAAACATGCACACATTTTAGGTCTACAGTTTAGTTTTGACAAGTTTAAATTCCCCTCTCACCACCACTCCAATTACGATACACAACATCTTCATACAGAAAGTTCCCTTCTGCCACTTTGCAGTGAACCCACTCCATACTATAGACAAGCACTGATTTGATTTTTACCACTATAAATTAATTTTCCCTGTACTAGAACTATATACATGAGATCATAGATTATGTACTCTTTTGTGCCTGGCTTTTTTCTCTCAGTGTAATGTTTCTGAGATTCATCCAACCAGTGTCCCATTTTATTTATCCTATTACTTTGTACACTCATGTTGTTTTCAAAATTGTGTAAAGGTAAATTTTAGCCCAATGTATCGCAGTAATTGCAATGGATGAATCATTGACTATTTATGATGATGATGATGATGATGAGCATGATGATCTTTTGGGCGAATTTTCTTTAAGATCCAACAGGGAATTATGAAAAAAGAATTTACTTAAGCAAAATCTAACTGTATAAAAACAAAAATGCAGAATTTACGATTAATGTGGCAAATTATAACTAGAGATTGACATTTTAGTAAGCAAATCTGTGGGATCTAATTGAGAACGTCATTATTCATGTCTAGGCATATAAACAAGTATAAAGAAAAATATTCTTTATTGTAATGTTTTTCTAGGCATTTGTAAATTAGAGAAAATGAGGTTTTAGGAACTGCTTTTCTTTCTGTGTTCCTACTTAATAATGAAACAGAATATGTCTACTACTGACTTTTCAATGAGGTAATTGGTTTAGCATGTTCAGTAGAGGCAGGCAAGTTTGATTAATGCTCATGAAAAACTTCACACAATAATTTTCCAGATAAATGCTTCTTTGGTATACTGCTAAATTCATCTGTGCTAGTGATCCATATGTTATTTATGATTGTGGAGGTGATTCTGTTACTATCCTTTTGGGAAATAGAAAATTAAATCATGATTTGAGGGAAAAATAGGATTCCGGCTTAATCAGTTAAATTGCCATATAATTCTGGAATAGACAAAATAATTGCATGTCAGGCACAATTTGAAGTGATTGATTTATATTTTCAACTTTCTCTTTATTTGTTCTGACACAAATAAGTTTGCTTTGTTTATTCTAAATAGTACTCACTGGTTGTTAGTAATATTGATACACAAACTTAGGTGATTTTTTTATTAGCTAATTTAAAAAATCACAAATTCATATTTACTATTTTTATTATGTTTAAGTACAAACTAAGTAAAATATTGTATTTTAAAATACTTTTTATGACTCTATGGGAACTTATTTTTATTTTGCTATGTTAAGTGTTATTATGTGGTATCCTATTTGTACTCCCTTCTCCAACCCATCAAAGCTTTTACTTAGAATTAGACCTGTAAGAATCTGATTAGGACCATTCCTATTTTGGGTTAGGCAGTGGTAAAAGAAAAGGCTTTCTGTTCTTGGTAAGTCCTTGTAAAAGTGAATTTATCAACTGGATAATAGGAGTGATAAGCACACCCCACATCCTTTACTCACCAAATGCAATTATGTAAAGGCAAAGTTTTAAATGTGGTGTTGCTGTTATGACATTTTGTAATTGTGAATATTTAACATTTGAATTCTTTTCATTAGTAATGTCTTATGAAAGGTAAAAGGGATCTTGATTTTTTATGAGTTCTTCTCTTTTCCTGGCATTTCCTTTAGAAATCCTCTTTATTTACTCTGTCAAATCAAGAGTCAACCACAGAAGCTAATGGTTTAGGAAGTAAGGGAATCATAATGTTAAGCTGCAGCCAGAGAGGTCAAAGGCAGGTTAACAATTCCTGAAACCTATTGCTTCTATGATGTTACCTGTGCTTGATCACTTAATCTTTCTCAACAGGTCATAAGAAGTTTGCCAAATTAAGTTAATTACAAAAGAGAAGGAACACATCATAAATCAAGTACTAAGTACCTAAGACAGCATTGGTATTTGAAGGAAAGATCAGTTACATGAAAATGTATTGAGTGCTTAGATGTTAATTGAAAGTACTTTGTTTTAATAGTAAATGTTAGTACTTTAACCATGGGGAAAATAGGTAATATAGATATAATAAACCTACCCCCATAAGAAACACTTATCTAGTAGCGTTAAATCAAACTGATAAATGATGGGAATTGTCAGTCTAGTTAGAAGTCATTTTGAAATTAGCATGGGGTACTCAACAGTGGTTCCCCCACTGATTATGTGTACTATATTGAATTTAATACACTATGAATTTGGTTTAAATGTACAAAGATAGTATTTAATGTATTATATTTTGTTTTCATTGTAAAATCCAATTTAAACTAGAAATGCATATTTTAAAACATGTTTACATCATTGTAATATGTAACAAAGTTTTTTTTGACAGGTCTTTGCTGCAGAAGCATGATATTACCTAGTCAACTAATAAATCTGGAATAATTTAAAGGATTACGACCAACTTTAAATAATTTTAGAGATATCTTATACTTAAAATGTTTAACAGAAAGTACTTTACATTTATATTTTACCTTTGTTTGAAAACTTTTGCTTTTATGCTAGTGATAAAATAGATGTTAGCTCTCATTAGCAATGAGAATGTAAGGTTGTGATTTTGAACCTTCCACTGAAATTGACCCTAATTGCATTTTTTAAAAAATTAGTTTGCAGGTCGAAGTAAGAAGGAAACCAAATACTCTCTTAAGGCAGTCGAAGACATGTTGGAAACACTGCAGATTACCCAGTCTTAACGTTTCAAAAATTCTTTCACATTACATTTCACAATTGCACGATTGAACCTATTGGCTTGACTTATTTACTAAATGCCCAGTGCTATTTATATGCTAATTTCCTGTTAAGGCAGTTGTAAAGAATATGTTTATATAAACCTAAAAATTCCTTTCATTGCTAAGCAGAAAGATCAGGAAGGTCCATAGAAGAAGGATTTTAGAGTCTTATTGATTGTACAGCATTCTCTTAATATCACACTGCTTTTAAACCATAATCTGCTGTAGAAATAACCTAATTAAATAAACCATGATGATTTATTAAACTTGCATATGAAGATTATAGTCTTTTTATTACACTTAAATAGTGAAGATACCGTTTTAGAACTCAATGCCTAGTTAGCTCTTTTTTTTTTTTATCTATGATAAGAAATAGATAGCATATATAACTGACTGAGCAAAATATTGACAAATTATTTTAACTCTCCTTTAGTGTCAGGTTGGATTTTGCTCTGTTTCAGTAGGCTGTTGCTTTTTGTACTGTAATATTACTCTGCTGAATCATGGTAAAATATGTAATTTTCCAAAATTTAGCAATATGTCTGTAAAATGTTCATTTTGCCATAGAAGATAATTAAATTTTTACCTATAAAATGCTTTAAGGTTCATATATGCTATAATACTCAAATTTAACCTTTATGAAAGTTATATTTATTGAACATTTAACTGTAAATTACATAAAAGAATATTCAGAGATCTAGAGAATAGGAATTAAAGGGGTTTCAGTGACTGTTATTTTTACTTTAGGGTAAAATAAAAAAAATCTAAACTTTTTAGAAAAAAATTTTTTACAATCCTTGTCTCATTATCTCCTTAGTGATAATTGAAATTTCTTCTTTTTTTTATACTAATCAACCATTATACTACCTTCAACATTATTTTGCATGTTTCAATAGAAAACAAAGAACTTTGAGAGTTAAACACTTTGTTCAGGCATAAGTTAATTTTTAGAATAGTGAATTGTTCATTCAAGACAAATATTTATTGTTAGTATTAGTTTGTAATTTATATATATGTTACATATAATATATATTATATGTAGTCATAATCCTATTTATTTATACTAACATTATACAGAAACTCCTGCTCACTTGTCATTGCTGGATTTGGGCAAATGGGGATGGTGGAGGAATTGACAACCTGAAAGTCTTTAGGAAGAAAACTTGCCAATACCAGCATTTTAACCTTTTGAATAATTCTGTTATTCTTCCTGTCTAGTCTAATTCTTTCATGTTACAGTCCTTTTCATTTTATTTTGTCAGGAGTAATGAGCAACTGTGTAAAAGCTCTTCTCATATAAAGATAATTCTTCTGAACTAACCTTTGTTATAACAAAATGTACTCTTTTTATACATGAATTTAGTAACTGCATTTTCAACATAATCAGCTATTTAAAATTTGTTTGCTACAAAGAAAATAGTGCCCGCATACTATTCCCACTACCTTTCTTCTCTCTAACCTTCTCCCATCAGTCACTAGAATAGTGTTTTCTTTAGCAATTACATTTGTGTAATAAGAAATTTAGTGCCTCATAACTGTCAGCCTTAGTTTCACTTTGTTTTTTAAATTTCATTACCTTCTTGCCAATAATTTTTCTTCAGTACCTTGTTAATATGTAATAATTTACAGACCTCCATTTAAATGTACTGATAACCCTATCATGGCAGACAGTTGCCTGCTCAACTCTTACCTTCACTTCCTAGTAAATTGTATCCTATATTGTTGAGATAGGAGCAGAGATCCCTGTTCCTCAAGGAGATTAGGATCTTACCCCAATCCCAGGAGATGCATCATGATTAATTTAATATAGAAATGGCTTCATTCTTTATGGCCTGTGATATGCCAGGCCTGTATTTGTGCTGTCTATTATGATAGCCATTAGCTCCATGTGGCTATTTTGCTCTTGAAATATGGCCAGTGCAACTGAGAAATTGAATTTTTAATTTAATTTCATTTAAATTTAAATAGCTGAATGTGACTCATGGTCACCATTTTGTACAGCCCCAGATAATCAAATGTGTGGGCATATGATCTAGTTCATGTTAATGAAATGAACAGAAGAATATTGGCACGGGCCTTCCTTTCAAATTAAAAAGAACAAGCTTTGTGAGATGAAGCTTTCTGCCTCTTTCTCCTCCTTGTGCCTAGAGATACAACAGCCATCTTACAATCATGAAGTGGCAAATATGAGAATGAAAACTACATTTCAAAGAAGTTTTCTTAGAAAGATTAGCGGGATCCTGGGTCCCTAAAGGCATTGTTGAACACCTGAACCTACATGAACAGTTTCCAACCTCTACTTATTACATGAGAAAAATAAACCCTTGATTTCTCTTACTTTAGTAATATATGTTTCTGACTAATTATATATACCATTTAACTTTAAAGAAAAAATTGATTGTTTTAAGAGAGAGGGAGAGAGAGAAAAACATCGATTTGTTGTTCCACATATTTATACATCCATTGATTTGCTTGTTGTATGTGCCCTGACCAGGAGTTGAACCTGCAACCTTGGTGTGTCGGGACAAAGCTCTAACCCACAGAGCTGCCAGGCCAGAGCCATTTAACTTTTTTTAAACATGAAAACTCTTATTTTAGACATGCTAGGAATGCTGTTTCAGAATATAATCACTTAAAGTTAAGTAGATAATTAGATATAAGTAATACCTTGTTGCAATTCAGCATCCAGTATTTAAGCCAACAGAAGTGAGAAAAAGGCATATTAAAACAACTTTAACCATAAGAATAATATTGACTTGGGAGCAGAGAGGGATGTAGAAAAAATAGAAATGGAAGACCAATGTTTTAGTATACTGGAAGCATACAATTTTTATTGGAAAATATTTTAAAGAATGATTTTCTAATGCCATAATCCATTTATTCTCAAGGTAACATCATTTTACTTCATTTCATGGAACTATAGAATTTTAGAAGGGAAAAAAAGAAAACAATGATTTAGTTGTATTCATTTTAAGATAAGGAATGACGTTTCTGAGAAATTGTGCTCACTGTGACAGAGCAAGGAACAGGATCAGGATGTCAGGGGCTCCCAAGTTTAGTTCTCTTTCTAATATACTCTGAGGCATATACTTGTCCTTTGATACATTGTTCCCATTTTAGAGTAACAAAAGTAGAGCCAGATATATTCAAGGGACATTGCTTGTTAGAGCAGGGAAGAGAATTCGGATTTTATAATTTGTAAACAATTTTTTAGTGGAATAATAAAGTCCAATTTTATTTTGAACTAAATAAGTTACCCATTTAAAATGTTACTTCATTTATCGTCAATGTGATAACTATTTTAGACTAGAACTATTTTAAACCTCTTTCACTTTGAACCTCTGATGTATGCTATCTCCCTTTTTACTCTTGGTTAGTAACCTCTTGTTATAGGCCGAATTGTGTCTCCTGCAAATTCATGTTGGAAGTTCTAACCCTGGGTACCTCAGAATGTGAATTTTTTTGTAGAGACTTTAAAGAGGCAGTTCATGTAAAATTAAGTCATATGGTTTAACCCTAATTCAATTAATTGATACCTTTATAAGAAGAGATTAAGACACAGACACGCAGAGGAAAGATCAAGGAAAGACAAAGAGAAGATAACCATCTATAAGTCAAGGAGCAATTCCTCAGAAGAAACCAACCCTGCTGACACCTTGCTCTTGGACTTCTGGCCTTTAGAACTGTGATGAAATAAATTTCTGTTGTTTAAGACACTCAGGTCTCTGTGTACTTTGTTAAGGCAGACCTAGCAAACTAATTAACAGCTTTCTTACTATTTTTCAAAGAAAGAGAATCAGATAAAGACCCTCCCAGGATCAGATATTCTTGTACCCAGCTTTATTTCTTTTCCTCTTACAATCAAGTAGCCTTACCCTTTTCTGAGCTATTTCCCATTACTGTCCCTTCATTTTTATACTATAGCTCTACTTCACTTTCATGAATTTGCCATACTTTCTCCTACCACAAAGCATCCTGCCTTCCCTCAGACTTTCCATCATCTCATTTCTTTACACTTATTCTTAAACTATTTCTTTTCTTCATTATCTCTGCTCTCTTACTTTACTAGATTCTTCCCTCCACCCTTCCCATTATTCCTTCGAAATAGTTTAATTTCATGTCACCAATCTAATGTCACCAATCTTTTTAGTCTTTTAAGCAGTATTATGCTCTTATTCATTGCAAATTTGTGTCTTTATTTCTATTGCCCCCACTATCTGAGCCCAAGTAACCATCCCCTGACTTCTGGAGAATAGCCAGATGGCTGGGTTTCCTGTACTTTTACTTCCTCCTAGTCCATTTTAAACAGCAGCTAGAATGTTACTAATATCACTAAAGAGGCCAGTTTATCCTTCCCTCATTAAAATTCAGTTTTCCATTTGTTGCTCTTTGGCCTTTGAGGTTCTATATGGTATCAGAATCAGGAAGAACGATTCAAAATTTTTTTTTAAGTATAAACTATCTCCCTCTCCTCTCTTATTTCTAAATTTATCCACACTTAAGTTCCATGGAGTTGTTATGCTCTCTTCTTCAATATACTTGGTCCTTCTGTATAGACCAGTAACCTCAAGAATTTTTAAGACATGCAATACCTGACTAGCCAGAAGCACTGACCTGTTTTCCCTTAGATTATTTAAAAAAAAAAAAAAAAAAAAAAAAAGACAACAGCCAACACAATAGCTGCGCAGTGTTAATCAAAATTTTACCTATTGTTTTTGTCAGATCGGCCCAAAATATATTTTTGGCGTGTGGTAAACTCTTGGTAATTAGTTTGAGTGCCATGAGATGAAAAAGGTTGAAAATTGCTGGTATATACCAAAGCCTTCCTTGACTCATTCTCCAGAGGTTATGCCTTTCTTTTTTTTCTTACTGATATTTTTTTTCCCTTTATTTTTTTATTATTATTTTTTTTAAATAATTTTTATTTCTTGAAGTACCACAAAGAGTATTGCATATGTCTCCTTCCCCCCCCCCCCCCCCCCCGACATTCCCCCGGTCTCCCCTACCCCCTAGTGCAGGGATGGGCAAACTTTTTGACTCGAGGGCCACAATGGGTTCTTAAACTGGACCGGAGGGCCGGAACAAAAGCATGGATGGAGTGTTTGTGTGAACTAATATAAATTCAAAGTAAACATCATTACATAAAAGGGTACGGTCTTTCTTTTTTTTAGTTTTATTCATTTCAAACAGGCCGAATCCGGCCCGCGGGCCGTAGTTTGCCCACGGCTGCCCTAGTGTCTTGTGTCCATTGGTTATTATGTGCATGCAGATAAGTCCTTTGGTTGATCTCTTATCCCCCTACCCCCCCCCCCCAAACCCTCCCCAGGCTTCCCACTGTAGTTTGACAGTCTGTTCAGTGCTGCACTGCCTCTGCATCTACCCCTGTTCATCAGTCTATACTGGTCCCCATTATCTGTTTCAACCTCACCAGGGCCGTTTCGTCCTCACCAGGGCCGTCCCGACCTCACCGGGGCCGTCTTGGCCTCACCGGGGGATATTTTTAAAGTAACATTTTATTTTAAAATACTTTAAGACTCACAAGGAGTTGCAATACAGTACAAAGAATTTCTGTGTACTAGCTTCTATTATTTTATGTAACCATAGTGCATTATCAAAGAAGGAAATTGACATTGCAACATACTGTTAACTAGGGTATGGATTTCACAATTTTTACATGTTCTCTTTTTTTTCTGATTATGAAATGTTATATGTGTAGCTAGAACTTCATAAATTCTCTCTTGCTACTCCTTAATAGTTATACCCTCTTCTAACACAGGTGCCTGACATCTGCTGATCTTTTCTCCATCACTATAATTTTGTCACTTAACTGTTCTATAAATGGAATCACACAATATGTAACCCTTTCAGACTGGTTTCTTTCAGAATATTTTCTTGTAAGTTCATGGGTGGTGTTGCATGTGTCAATAGTTTGTTCCTTTTTATTACTAGGTAATATTCCACTGTATGAATGTACCATAGACATTCTGGTAATCCACTGTGGAAGGACATTTGAGTAGTTTCACCACTAAGTGGGGTTTATTTCAGAAATGCAGACTGCTTTAATATTTTGAAAATTGGTCAATGCAATACATCATATTAAGAAAATAAGAAAAACCACTTGATCTTTTCAATTGATAATAAAAAAGCATTTGACAAAATGTAGCGCCCATTTATAATTTAAAAAGCTAACTCAGTAATAGAAGGATATTTCCTCAGTTCCCCCAAAATCCACAAAACTTACAGTTACTATTACACCTAATGAAAGGTTAAATGTGGTCCCATTAAGATTGAGAATGAGGCAAGGATGTGCACTCTCAACCACTTCTATTTGACATAGTATTGGTGTATTGGTGCAGTGTGGTAAGAAAGGGAATAAGACATACGGATTGGAAAGGAAGAAGTAATGGTCTCTATTTACAGGTAACCTGATAGTCTACATAGAAAATCCCAAGAAATCTCCAAGAACATCTTGGAATTCTAACAAGTGAGTTTAGCAAGATCACAGGATACAAGGCCAAGAAAGACCAATTGTATTTCTTTATGCTGGCAATAAATAATATTTATAATACACAAATATTAAGTATAAAATTTTAAAACCATATATAGGATATGTTTGCTGAAAACTACAAATGCTAATAAAAGAAAAAAGACCTAAAAAATGGAGAGACATATCATATTCATGGATTGGAAGACAATATAATAAAGATGTCGGTTCTCCCCCAAATAATCTAGGTTTAATACAATTTCTATTAAAATCTCAGATTCTTTGTAGATAAACTTTCTAAGATTTATATGAAAAGATGATGTAGAATAGTTTAAGCAACCTTAAAAATAAATTTGGAATCAGACTACCAGATATTAAAAATTACGTAGCTAGCCCTAGCCGGCTTGGCTCAGTGGATAGAGTGTCAGCCTGTGGACTGAAGGGTCCCAGGTTCGATTCCAGCCAAGGACACATGCCTGGGTTGCGGGCTCGATCCCCAGAAGAGAGTGTGCAGGAGGCAGCCGATCAATGATTCTCTCTCATCATTGGTGTTTCTATCTCTCCCTCTCCTTTCCTCTCTGAAATCAATGAAAAGAAATATATTTTAAAAAATTGCGTAGCTACAGTAATGACAATGTGGTATTGCTACTGATGGTGTGGTTTTGTCAGAGTGACATACAAAGCAGTGGAACAGGTCCAGAATAGACAGATCCACACCAGTATGAAAAACTAAATTTTGAAAAAGTTGCATAAGCAATTCAATAGAAGAATTGTGTGAGACAGTTGAATATTTAAAAAATGGTATTGGAACAATTGGATATTTCATAGCAAAAGATAAAAAGCCCTCAACTTAGACCTCCCACCATATTAAAAAACAAACAAACTCAAAATGAGTCATGGATCTAATTGTAACATGTAAGACTAAAATATTTAGGGGGGAAAAAAAAAGGAAAGAACTATCTGACCAGTATGACCTAGGGTTGGCCAAAATTCTTTCAGTGACAGCAAAGGTGCAACTTTTAAAAAGAATAAATTGGATCTTGTCACAAATAAAATCTTGTTTTGAGAAAGACCCTGTTAAAGAAGATGAAAAGACAGGCCAGAGAAGACCCTATTAAAGAAAACAAGCCACAGACAAATATTTACAAACATACTGTGTCCAGGATATATGAAGAACTTTCAAAATTCAATAGTAAGAAAACACTAATTAGGAAATGGACAAAAGGCAGACACTTCACAAAGAGGCTATCAGTTTGGCAAATATATGCATGAAAAATGTTCAAAATCATTAGCAATTAATAGGGAGAAATGCAAATTTAAGCTTTAATGACATGCCATTGAACACATTAGAATGGCTAAAATAAAACATTGATAATCCTATGTGTCAATGATGTGAAACAACTTGGAAATGTCAATATTTAGCTCCTCTGGAGAACAGTTGTATACTTTTATATTATCACGTACCTTTCATTTGGACCATTTGCCACTATATTTTCAGGTGATTGTCCTCCCCAATAGGTTCTTTAAAAGAAGTCGGAGACTATATCCGGCTTTGTCCATTATTGTCATTCCAGCTTCTAACTGATGCTTGCACACAGTACATACATATTTGAATGAATTAAAAGTAAAATACTCTGCCCATTATGGTATACTCTATTTAACAAATCTTCCAGATGTACTTTAGCTTCACTTAGTTCCCTGGTAAAATAAATTGTAATCAGGAAGTCATTTCAAAAATCTAATATCCATATCAGGAACAACATTATGCTTAAGGCTGCCAATGAGATCATTATATGCCACATTAATAACAGGAAAAAAATAAAATAACTCACAGTTTGACTACTTTGAGATACATAAACCTGAATCATTCTCAATAGCTGTAGAATTTGCTCCAACTCTAAGGATATTGTGAATGGTCAAGATTCATTAATGGGCTATTTAGAAAGTTCTAGTGATTGGTTCTCAACGCATGTTCATTTTTTAATTTGCTAGAAATGCAAATTATTGAGCCTCACTCCACTCTGTTATGTGAGAGACTCCAGCAATTTGTTTTTAACAAGCCCATCAGGTATTCCTGAGGCCCACTAACATCTGCCTGGACTCAGTTATTTGAAGACTGATTGGCAGAAGCAGATGATTCTGTGGATTTCTGTGTCATTCCCTTTGTTCTATTATTATGTTTGTATATGGCACTCTTTGTGTTATCCCCTTTTATTCTGCTTTATTTGTTTT